TCGAGACTGTTGAATTCCCGTGCCAGTAGAAAAGTTGTCACCGTGTCCGATGATCAGGCTTCGGCTTCACCGCAAGCGTTGCCGGCCTTCCGTGTTCATCAAAGCTGGCCACGATGTCCTCGGCATGAAACGTCGTAGTTGCTGTACGTGTCCGAAACGAGAGCAGCAAAGAGCCCTTGAAAGGGGGTTGTTCCCCAGTCTCCAATAGCGAAAAGCAGAGAGCGAGTACGCAGCGGAAGCCGGGTCTGACAAAACCTGGGCGTCTGCTACAACAGCGAGCACTCCCACATAGATGGCTAAGAGGCTGGGGGTCAGCATGATTGTACGTCCTAGTAAGGCGTTCAAAGTAAATTGGAGAATGAGAGCACTGGTCGAGAATGTAGTGCACCACCAGGAGGAAATCTGAGGAGGCTTTGGTGTCTCAACGTGGATCGGACTACCCCCATCCCCATCTGGCTTTGTGGTGTTTGTACGTGGAGTTAGGCTTTCCCCCAGAAGATGGCAAAGTTTGCCGCAAACGCACTGCGAAACCCGCACTCGACAGCTTGTTAACTCGAAAAGTGTATCTACCCATACATGTAGCAACAAGGTGTCGCTGTGAATAATACTAGTAGCACCTTACATTGAAGCTTTCGCGAATACAACCCATTGAAACTAAGCACTCTGCCACAAAGAGGCAGAGGCACCCTTGTTTTCAGTGCATTGTAACCTTCACGATGGCATGAATTTTTACGAACAAATTTATCGCAACTGTGGAGTCGTGACCATGCCATTGTTGGCAGCCAAATTAAACAAAAGATTCTGGTGGTGTGTTAGAGTATCCAATTCAGATTCTCAATTCAACTTTTGATTCTTTCGAACTGGCAAAATGTCTTGTTGAGACTGTCAACAAGAGCAACGCATCCTCGGACACGATGAGGCAAAAAAAACTTCTCGATGTCTAACGGTAGTTCTGTGTCCAACCCGCCAAGTAATCCATACATCTATACCAGCAAGCAGCTGAAGACTTAGCATCTACGGCCTTCTCCGCCGTCCGACGGGATGTACCAGCAGTGTTTGGTCTCGACGCCACCGATCTTGGTGCTCTGGAAGTTCTCTCCGAACTGCCACGACCTGTCCGCCGTGTGGTACTGCAGCTTCACCCAAGCCTTGGAGGCCTGAAGCGACATGAAGCCGTACTCGTTGCTGCCGTACGTCCACTTGTTCTGCACGAACGGGGCGGCATACGACGGGATGCCGCTTGCCGACTCCTTCTGGATACCACCGCCAGCGCCGTTCTCAATGAAGTGAATGCCCAGCGACGAAGAGTAATCGTGCTTCTCACCGTGAGTGTGACCGTTCAGCCAGATGTGCACGCCAGAGCCACGCAGTGCGTCGAACCACTTCTTCATGTTGTGTTCGGCGTAGTGGTTGTACGGACTGTAGTGGCTGTTGACGATCTTCCACGTGGCTGTCGACTGCTTGACCTTTTGCGCGATCTGCGCGCGAGAGTCGTCTCCCCACTGGTTGAACTTGCCCATACACGCGTCGAACATGGAGTTGTCTCCGCCACAGCAGTACTGGTGGCCACGGCCCACGTTACGACACGTAGCACTGTCACTGTTCGAGTAGCCGTAGCACTGGCAACAGATCTGCATGGCGCCGTGGATGTCGGCGTCGTTCGTGTCCACGTTGAACACGTCGATGCTCACACCCGTGCAGGGTCCTCGATACGACGCACGAAGAAGTGGTCGTCCAGGTTCCAGCGGTTGTCGTTCGGACTCGTGTACTCCGATTGCCACGTGAACTTGTTGTCAGACCCCTGTAGAAGTGCGTCTGTAGTCTCGCACTTAGCGTTGTTGTCTCCTTGGGTGCACACGGTAACTGACACCACCGTAGTCGTGGTTACCCAACACGTTCACCCCATGGGATCGTCTTGATGTTGTTGCCATTAAACTTCCTCCTCGGAACGTCGTGCCAAAGCGAGAGTCGCGGGCCCTCGAGACTGTTGATTCCCCGTCCAGTAAAAAGTTGTCACCGGGTCCCGATGATCAGCTTCCGCTTCACGCCAGCGATTGCGGGCTTCGGGGTTCATCAAGCTGGTC